CTACACAAAACACCATTAGACCGATTTTAAGTAAGTTGAATTGGAATACAATTTCAATGTTACATATGACTTTAGAAAATTTAAGTTGCGATTTTGTTCATTGTTTTAGGCCAGTGTGAACACTGCCACCTATGGGTGATTTGTCTACCGAGCTGTGGGCATAACGTACATCGATCTTTGGTTTGAAGAGAGGCTAGTAGAATGCTTGCCATTCAAATGTCCGATAGGCTTTAAAGTCAAGTAATTAATATGCTTTCTGAATGTTGCAGTCGTGTTTTTTTTTTATGCAATGTCCATTGCTTTATACTCTAGATGTTTTGACGAAGATGTTGATCGCTTCTTAGAAGATTTTTTTGAGTATGCATTTTTATAATTCTTTATCTTTTGAAAAGTGATACAGTAGAACAGTCAGTAAGATTGATTTCTTTTTATTTTAGAGTGATCGTTGCTAGTTTCTTTCAATAAAATGTTTATTTCAATAAAATGTATTTAAGAATATCAACGTCTCATGTTCTAATTTGTTCTTTTTCTGTCAAAATATATTTCTCCAATCATTACAAGTGTACTTGATAAGTTCTAGCCCATTTACTATCAGTCATGTCTTGTAAACTATCAAAGAAGGATTTCATCACTTCTTCCTCATCAATTTCGTATATTTTAAAACCAATTTCAGTAGCATAGCACTTTAACAATTTATTCTGTATATTGCTTTGGCGTTCATCTAAAACATGGCTCTCATCTTCAAATTCGAAGGACGATTTCTTCACTTTCTTTGCCTGCTCAATGTCTACTTTTAAAGCCATTTTCGTTTTAGTAAGACAAAAATTACCAAATAACTTCAACTCAATAAAATTGTAACGTGTTCTCCTTTTTTTATATTTGCAAAAGAAACAAGAAAACGGATCTAATATTGCTTTAAGAATAGAAAACAATTGACAATTTTAATTAAGTTTTATCGTGTTTCAATTAATCATGTCATCCAATGGCAACCTTCGTTCATTTTTTATCGTTTCCGGTTTACACGCGCGCGCCCTGTTTACTTCCTAGGACTGGAAACTAATTGACACGGGTAAGAGCTCCGTTTACTTCCGGGACCATACCTGCACCATAACTACTTGGGACCAGTTGTATCAAAGTCGGACAAGTTATCCAATGGATAAGTCATATCCAGTGAAAAAATCTTCTATACTGTAGATAGCTATCCACAGGATAAAATTACGTTGTATAAAGCAAAGATAGCAGGTTGAATCATTATCCAATCGATAACTACCACCATGCCAAGCTTGTGTACGCGATGTACCTATTTCTTTAAATATTGTTTATGTTTTGTAGATCTGCTTTATTGCATTATTCTCTTTTATCGTCGACATTTGGATTAATTTTCACGCTGAATTATAAGTAAAGACGCATAAAAATGGCCTATCGTTCTAATAATAATGAAAGTGGATATGATGAATCGAGATTTCAAATTGCTGTTGATGAAAATTTTCGCTGTGCAATTTGTCTCAACGTCGTTAAAGATCCCAGAATGTGTCAACATAACGAACACATCTTTTGTCGTTCTTGTATCGAAGAACATCTACGAGTCAATGCACAAAGATGTCCTCAATGTCAAGATCATTTGACGGTAGCTACACTTCTTCCAGCGCGTTTTGTAAACAACTTGATTTCAAAGTTTAAGATAAGCTGCGACTACGCTAATCGTGGTTGTCCAGAATTTATCAACGTTGAAGATCTTGAACGACATGTTGAAAATTGTGGCTTTGCTCCAGTGTTGTGTTCTAATGAACGTTGTGACAAGGAGGTAAACAAACGAGACAAGATTAAACATGAAACTGAGTTATGTGAATACAGAAAGACTGCATCTCACTACTTTGAAGAGATTAAAGAAATGTTTCAACGAAGTTTTGATCATGAGGAGCAAGAGAAAATGCAGCTGACTGAAATAACTAGAAAAATGGAATCACTGACGAACCAAAACATGAAATTACAGAAAGAAATGATGGAATCAAAAGGAGAAATAAGAAATGTTCAACAAAATCTTTCTATAATGACCAAAGAAATTAAAGAAATGAAAGCCATGATGCTTCAAATGTTGGAAAAGATGAATATAAATGAACAACATGTCAAAACATTGCCATCATCAACTGAGGGAATGATGAACTCAGGAAAAGAAGATATTTTGATTGCTGGAATGGCGTACATGGTTCCTTTAAGAGTGCTGAAATATTTTCATGGAAGGAGAAGAAATGGTTTGAGATTGTATCAAGGAAAATGAACACAGCTGTGCTTCATCATTTATTTATAATGATAATTTATTTGTTGTTGGAGGATTATGGTGCACGTCAATGGAGACATTGAATATAAAACAGTCACCTTTGACATGGAGAAAATTTCCCACAGAGCTTCCTTATAAATGTTGGCATCATCAAACTGTTGTTTGTAAACAGCAAATTCTTTTCATTGGAGGAGACATTCCTGGCAAAGGACCATCAGATTTGATCAGTGAAATACAGATTACTTGTACAACATCTCATGTTTTAAAAGAGTTGTGTCATATGCCTGAACCACGGTATGAACATGGAGCTGTTGTTGTTGATGACAAAGTTCTTATTTTTGGAGGATACGGAAAAGATTGCAAAGTTTTATCCAGTGTTTTGGAGTTTGATCCAAGGACTCTTACATTTAAGAAAATGCCTCTATTACCTCATCCATTGATGAAAATGGCAACAGTTCAATGGAGAGATCAAGTTGTTCTTCTTGGAGGTAATGATGGAAGAGGCTCGTTGAACAGTGTTCTCATGTATGACTGTAATACAGGAAAGATTACAGTCTTACCATCCATGTTGGAAAAGAGAAGGGGATGTTGTGCAGTTATAACTGGTGATACAATTGTTGTCATGGGAGGTATGAATGATAAACATGAATTTCTTAAATCAGTGGAGTGTTTTGAAATGGGAAGTAGTTCTTCATGGACATATTTTCCTTTAATGAATGAATCACGATATGGAGCCATTGCTGAAGTTTTACCTTTTGGACAAAAGTATTTATAAGCAAGAAAATGTTCTTTAAATAATCAGAGCATTATTATTCAGTAAAATTTTTTTATATTAAGTTAAACAAAAAATGCTTAAAATTAAATATGTAAACCTCTAATGCCCATATAACTTTTGATTACTATAACAAATTCCAGATGAAATAAATTACTTTAATATTTTACTTTTGCCGTGTGGTTGCCGGCTTAGAATTGCGCCAACGTATCCTCTGCGTGTCGTAAAAGACGACTAAAAGGGGTTGGTGTAAGGAAGGGCATCCTACCGTAAAACTTTTGCTCCAACAAAATTCATGAACTTTGGAAAAGAAGATATGGACCCAGTCCCGGCAGCCCTTCAGTGGGCAGGGGTGCGAAGAATCTCGGATCGAATGTTGGTGGAAGTGTCACCCTTGGGTAGGCACAGTGAACGTTGGGACAATGAAGGAAGGAGTGCAGAAGTGGCGGACATGTTGAAGAGAAGGAAAGTTGATGTGTGTGGGTTTCAGGAGGTAGGTTTAAAGGTGAAGGTACGAGAGTCATAAAGGGTGAAGATAATGGAGCGAGATTTAAGTGGTTTTGGAAGGGAAACGGAAGTGGCACGAATGGTGTTGGCTTTGCGATAAGAGAGGATTGGGCGAAGTCGGTTGTAGCAGTGAAGAGAGAGTTCGGACAGAGTCCTGAGAGTTGATGTAGTTATGAGGCCGAAGTTGTGAGTTTCGTTGTGGTGTATGCTCCGCAGGTGGACGAAGTGCGGAGGAGAAGGAAAAGTTCTACGACAGCGTGTATGCAGTGAGAGCAGACATTAGAGGGCGATGTGTGATGCTTGGTGATTGGAACGGTCATGTGGGAAGCGTAGAAAAGGATACTGTGCGCATGGAGGTTTTGGAGTTGGTGATATGAATGCTGAAGGCGAGGCGATATTGGGTTAGCAAGTTGTGGGATGGTGGTAGTGAATACGTGGTTTATAAAGGAAGAAAACAAGCTTGTGACGTATGAATCTGGTGACAGTAGGACGGTGGTGGATTATATACTGGTGAATGAAGAACAGAGGAAAAACGTAAAGGATGCAAAAGTGATTGCAGGAGAAGAATGTCTGACCCAGCACAAGCTGCTGGTCATGGACTGGAGAATCAGGAAGGTGAAGGGAGAAGGTTGAGGGTAAAGGCAGGCTTAAGCTATGGAAGTTACGATCAGATGAAGGGAAGCAGTGTTTCCGTGACGAAATTACGACATTGAATGTTGAGGGTGAGACGGTGGAGGAGCGATGGACGTGGAGGAGGTGTTTTAACGGCAGCGGAGAAGATGTATAAGTAAAACGGTGAAATGAAGAACAGGCAAAGTGGTGGATCAACGAGTCAGCGAAGTGATTGGCGAAAAGTTGGCATTAAAAGGTGGAGAATCGCGGACTGAAGCAGATGAGATCGATTATCGGGTTCAAAAAAGCGCGAAAAGGTCGAAAACTTATCGAAAAATCATCTCTGGAGAATGGACGATTGTTTAGAACGGCTAGAAAGCAAGGAAGAACGATATTTTGGTGCTCCCGGCGTGCAGAACCACGATGGGGAGTTGGGTGTGGTTAAAGTGTGGAGGGCGTACTGTGACCGTTTGATGAATGTAGAAGAATGAATGGAGAAGTTGAAGCGGATGAAGTTTGGGGCCGTGGAAATAATACTGTTGATGAGGTGGCGGCGGCTCTGCGCAAGATGAAAGGAAAGGCAACAGGACCAGTGAAGTGGAGTATGCGAATGTTGGACAATGAACTATGCGTAGAGAGTTGTGTAATGTAGCGAACGAGGTTTTGAGGGGCTCAAAGATGCCGAGTACATGGAGAAAGAGTCTAGTGGTCCCGCTGTACAAAGGAAAAGGAGCAGCGACGGTATGTGGGAATTACAGGACTATTAAGCTGATGGAGCATGCGTTGAAGATAGTAGAGAGTGTTTGAAAGAAGGTTGAGGAAGTTGTTCGGATGGGGAAGAGCAGTATGGATTCATACCGGGGAGGAACGACGGATGCGTGTGTTTATGTTGAGACAGCTGCAGGAGAAATTTTGGAGAAGGACAGAGAATTGTATATGGTGTTTGTAGATTTGGAGAAGGCGTTTGATAGAGTTCGAAAGGTGATCGAGTACGCGCTGCGTAAGAAAGGTGTGACAGAGAATATGGTTCAGGCAGTTATGGAGACTTATGAAGGTGTAGAGGCGGTGGTTACTGAGGAAGGTGTTAGATCTGGTGTTTTTGAGGTAAAAGTTGGTGTTCATCAAGGTTCAGTCTTGTCGCCGTTACTGTTTGCTTGTGTGATGGATGTACGAACAGAGGAAGTGAGAAAAAAAGAAGGATGCTGGTGTTTGTTGTATGCAGATGACATTGTCTTGGTGGCGGAGTCGAAGCAGAAAGTCATGGAATGGTACCGAGAATGGAAAACGGCAATAGAAGTCAAGGGACTGAAAGTGAATGAGGCAAAGACGAAGGGCATGAGATGCTCGAGGCAGGTGGAGGTGAAGGACAGCGATAAATGGCCATGTGGTGTGTGTGGGAAAAGAGTTGGAGTGAATTCGATAATGTGGGAAATGCAGTAAGTGGGTTCATGGAAGATGTTCAGGTGTCCGTGGTGCATTGACAAAGTAACTGATTTTGAGTGCGGGACGTGTCGAAGTGGTGGGCGAGTCGCGATTGAACGGTTTGAACTGGGTGACGTGAGTTTGGAAGGTGTATTGGAGTTTAAATATCTGGGCGATGTGCTAAATGATGGTGGAGGTGCGAGCAAGCGGTGAGGAACAGAGTTCAAGCAGCGTGGTGGAGTTTAGAGTTGTCGGGAATGTTGTGCGGAAAGTCGACTTCGTTGAAGCAGAAGGGAGAATTGTATAAGGCATGTGTTAGAAGTGTTTTGGGATATGGAGCAGAGTGTTGGGCGCCGAAAGCAGAGGACCTGAGAAGATTGGCGTCGACGGAAAGGAGAATGCTTAGGATGATGTGTGGTGTAACGTTGATGGATAGGATTCGAAGTGAAGAGATTAGAAAAGAGTTGGTGTTGAGTGTATCGAGAATTGGGTAAAGGCGCCAGCGTTTGAGGTGGTTTGGGCATGTGGAAAGGAGGGAAGAAAGTGCTGAAATTCGTAGAACGTTGCATATGAATGTTGATGGAGTCCGCAAACGAGGTAGACCGAGAAAGAGATGGATGGATGCTGTGAACAGTGATATGAAGGCGATGGGTATAACGAGAGATATGGCGAGAGATAGAGACGTTTGGCGTGGAAAAATTCATGGACCGGTCAACCCCCCTAGCGGGGATTAATACTGGCCGGTATATAAATGTTGTTTGTTTGTTTTTGTTTGTTGAGGAAAAAGAAAATTTATAGCTATAGTTTCTTTACAAAAACTTAACATCAAAATAAAAATCACTGCCAAGTTTACATAGCATATTTATTAATTGAGCAATTTTCATTTACTTTAGCATAAGGTGTGATAGGTAAATGATTTAATTAAAATGCAAACAAGGTTCTAGAAAAAAAATCCCACTACACAAAATAATGAGAATGGTCAATCTTTCTAAATGAAACTGGGCTGGGCATGTCTACACCATGGCACCGCCACTGCAGATATTGAAATTTTTTAATAAACCTATTTCTGAAGATCTTCTTTTTTATGTACACCATCAGTGACGTAGCCAAATAGCAAATTTAGTCCTGGGACCAGTTGTATCAAAGTCGGACAAGTTATCCAATGGATAAGTCATATCCAGTGAAAAAATCTTCTATACAGTAGATAGCTATCAGCAGGATAAAATTACGTTGTATAAAGCAAAGATAGCAGGTTGAATCATTATCCAACGATAACTACCACTATGTCAAGCCTGTGTACGCGATTGTACCTATTTTTTAAATATTGTTTATGTGTTTTGTAGATCTGCTTTATTGCATATTCTCTTTTATCGTCGACATTTGGATTAATTTTCACGCTGAATTATAAGTGAAGACGTACAAAAATGGCCTATCGTTCTAATAATAATGAAAGTGGATATGATGAATCGAGATTCAAGAATGCTGTTGATGAAAATTTTCGCTGTGCAATTTGTCTCAACGTCGTTAAAGATCCCAGAATGTGTCAGCAAAACGAACACATCTTTTGTCGTTCTTGTATTGATGAACATCTACGAGTTAATGCACAAAGATGTCCTCAATGTCAAGATCATTTGACGGTAGCTACACTTCTTCCAGCGCGTTTTGTAAACAACTTGATTTCAAAGTTTAAGATAAGCTGCGACTACGCTAATCGTGGTTGTCCAGAATTTAGCAACGTTGAAGATCTTGAAAGACATGTTGAAAATTGTGGCTTTGCTCCAGTGTTGTGTTCTAATGAACGTTGTGACAAGGAGATAAACAAACGAGACAAGATTAAACATGAAACTGAGTTATGTGAGTACAGAAAGACTGCATCTCACTACTTTGAAGAGATTAATGAAATGTTTCAACGAAGTTTTGATCATGAGGAGCAAGAGAAAATGCAGCTGACTGAAATAACTAGAAAAATGGAATCACTGACGAACCAAAACTCGAAATTACAGAAAGAAATGATGGAATCTAAAGGAGAAATAAGAAATGTTCAACAAAATCTTATTATAATGACCAAAGAAATGAAAGAAATGAAAGCCATGATGCTTCAAATGTTGGAAAAGATGAATATAAATGAACAACATATCAAAACATTGCCATCATCAATTGAGGGAATGATGAACTCAGGAAAAGAAGATATTTTGATTGCTGGAAATGGTGTACATGGTTGTTCCTACAAGAGTGCTGAAATATTTTCATGGAAGGAGAAGAAATGGTTTGAGATTGTATCAATGGAAAATGAACACAGCTGTGCTTCATCATTTATTTATAATGATAATTTATTTGTTGTTGGAGGATTATGGTGCACGTCAATGGAGACATTGAATATAAAACAGTCACCTTTGACATGGAGAAAATTTCCCACAGAGCTTCCTTATAAATGTTGGCATCATCAAACTGTTGTTTGTAAACAACAAATCCTTTTCATTGGAGGATACATTCCTGGCAAAGGACCATCATATTTGATCAGTGAAATACAGATTACTTGTACAACATCTCATGTTTTAAAAGAGTTGTGTCATATGCCTGAACCACGGTATGAACATGGAGCTGTTGTTGTTGATGACAAAGTTCTTATTTTTGGAGGATACGGAAAAGATTGCAAAGTTTTATCCAGTGTTTTGGAGTTTGATCCAAGGACTCTTACATTTAAGAAAATGCCTCTATTACCTCATCCATTGATGAAAATGGCAACAGTTCAATGGAGAGATCAAGTTGTTCTTCTTGGAGGTAATGATGGAAGAGGCTCGTTGAACAGTGTTCTCATGTATGACTGTAATACAGGCAAGATTACAGTCTTACCATCCATGTTGGAAAAGAGATGGGGATGTTGTGCAGTTATAACTGGTGATACAATTGTTGTCATGGGAGGTGAGAATGATAAACATGAATGTCTTAAATCAGTGGAGTGTTTTGAAATGGGAAGTAGTTCTTCATGGACATATTTTCCTTTAATGAATGAATCACGATATGGAGCCATTGCTGAAGTTTTACCTTTTGGACAAAAGTATTTATAAGCAAGAAAATGTTCTTTAAACAATCAGAGCATTATTATTCAGTAAAAATTTTTTATATTAAGTTAAACAAAAAATGCTTAAAGTTAAATATGTAAACCTCTAATGCCCATATAACCTTTGATTACTATAACAAATTCCTGATTAAATAAATGACTTTAATATTTTACTTTTGACTGAGGAAAAAGAAAATTTATAGCTATAGTTTCTTTACAAAAACTTCAAATTGCAATGTGTGGATTTGTCTTGAGGTTTTGTAAAGGCTTTGTTCATCAAAATCAAAATCACTGCCAAGTTTACATAGCATATTTATTAATTAAACAATTTTCATTTACTCTAGCATAAGGTGTGATAGGTACTGTAAATGATTTAATTAAAATGCAAACAAGGTTCTAGAAATAAAATCCCACTACACAAATTAATGAGAATGGTTAATCTTTCTAAATGAAACTGGGCTGGGCATGTCCACACCATGGCACAACCACTGCAGGTATTGAAATTTTTTAATAAACCTATTTCTGAAGATCTTCTTTTTTATGTACACCAAAAGTGACGTAGCCAAATAGCAAATTTAGTCCTGGGACCAGTTGTATCAAAGTCGGACAAGTTATCCAATGGATAAGTCATATCCAGTGAAAAAATCTTCTATACAGTAGATAGCTATCCACAGGATAAAATTACGTTGTATAAAGCAAAGATAGCAGGTTGAATCATTATCCAATCGATAACTACCACGATGCCAAACTTGTGTACGCGTATACCTATTTTTAAAATATTGTTTATGTGTTTTGTAGATCTGCTTTATCCCATTATCGTCGACATTTGGATTAATTTTCACGCTGAATTATAAGTGAAGACGTATAAAAATGGCCTATCGTTCTAATAATAATGAAAGTGGATATGATGAATCGAGATTTCAAATTGCTGTTGATGAAAATTTTCGCTGTGCAATTTGTCTCAACGTCGTTAAAGATCCCAGAATGTGTCAGCATAACGAACACATCTTTTGTCGTTCTTGTATCGAAGAACATCTACGAGTCAATGCACAAAGATGTCCTCAATGTCAAGATCATTTGACGGTAGCTACACTTCTTCCAGCGCGTTTTGTAAACAACTTGATTTCAAAGTTTAAGATAAGCTGCGACTACGCTGATCGTGGTTGTCCAGAATTTATCAACGTTGAAGATCTTGAAAGACATGTTGAAAATTGTGGCTTTGCTCCAGTGTTGTGTTCTAATGAACGTTGTGACAAGGAGATAAACAAACGAGACAAGAATAAACATGAAACTGAGTTATGTGAATACAGAAAGATTCCTTCTCACGATTTTGCGGAGATAAAAGAAATGTTTCAACAAAGTTTTGAGGATCAAGTAAAATGCCAATTGATAAAATAAATGGAAAAATGGAGTCACTGACAAACCAAAACACCAAATTACAGAAAGAAATGATGGAATCGAAAGGAGAAATAAGAAATGTTCAACAAAATCTTTCTACAGTGACCAAAGAAATGAAAGAAATGAAAGCCATGATGCTTCAAATGTTGGAAAAGATGAATATATATGAACATCATGTGAAAACATTGACATCATCAATTGAGGGAATGATGAACTCAGGAAAAGAAGATATTTTGATTGCTGGAGGTTACCCACATGGTTCCTTCAAGAGTGCTGAAATATTTTCATGGAAGGAGAAGAAATGGTTTAATATTGCATCAATGGAAAATGAACACAGCGGTGCTTCATCATTCATTTATAATGATAATTTATTTGTTGTTGGAGGATCACGCTGCAAGTCAATGGAGACATTAAATATAAAACAGTCACCTTTGACATGGAGAAAATTTCCCACAGAGTTTCTTTATGAGTGCTGGTATAATCAAACTGTTGTTTATAAACAACAAATCCTTTTCATTGGAGGATGCATTAATGGTAAAGTATCAGATTTGATCAGTGAAATAAAGATTACTGGTACAACAACTCATGTTTTAAAAGAGTTGTGTCATATGCCTGAACCACGTTGTAGCCATGGAGCTGTTGTTGTTGATGATAAAGTTCTTATTTTTGGAGGATGGGTAAAAGATGGCAAAGTTTCGTCCAGTGTTTTGGAGTTTGATCCAAGGACTCTTACATTTAAAGAAAAGCCTCGATTACCTCATCCATGGGCTGAAGTGGCAACAGTTCAATGGAGAGATCAAGTTGTTCTTCTTGGAGGTTATGATAGAAGAGAATATTTGAACAGTGTTATCATGTATGACAGCAAAACAGGTAAGATTACAGTCCTACCAACCATGTTGGAAAAGAGAAGATCATGTTGTGCAGTTATAACAGGTGATACAATTGTTGTAATGGGAGGTGAGAATGATGAAGGTGAAGATCTTAAATCAGTGGAGTGTTTCGAAATGGGAAGTAGTTCTTTATGGACATATCTTCCTTCAATGAATGAACCACGAGGTAGAGCCATTGCTGAAATTTTACCTTTTGGACAAAACTATTTATAAGCACAGAATTATTCTCTAAAGAATCAGAACATTATTACTCTCAGTAAAACCTGTTTATATTAAGTAGAACAGTTAAATATGTAAACCTCCAATGTCCATATAACCTTTGATTACTACCACAAATTCCAGATGAAATAAATGACTTTAATATTTTACTAATGATTGAGGGAAAAGAAAATTTATAGCTATAGTTTCCTTTCAAAAACTTCAAACTGCAGTGTGTGGATTTGTCTTGTGGTTTTGTAAAGGCTTTGTTCATCAAAATCAAAATCACTGCCAAGTTTACATAGCATATTTTTTAAAACAATTTTTATTTTCCTAACATGAGGTGTGACAAATAAATGATTTGATGAAAACTAAAAAATATTAATGAAAATATCTTTTATCTTCAAAACGCAAAAATCTTTAAATCCCAAAGTTGCCAACAAATTCGATTAATACATGACAACGACATTTGCCTGATATCTTTACTATATTATATTAACATCAAAAGTAGTTATGACGCATGCGCATGAGAAATGCCAATGACACAACATGTTCATATTACATCATAAGAACTTGAGTTATTAGATATATTTACTGATAAGTGTTACTTTCAGTTCTGCTTAAGCATTTCATGCAGTGACGTCACTGGGTGTGTTCGAGAATGAAAAAATCTGCGCGAAAAATGTGTCACAAGGTTTTTTCAATGGAAAATAACTTATGTATGCAGCAAAATATTTGTTTCATAAATATTTTAAGACCTACTTGCAAACCACCTTTGGGATTATCCATTCAGTAATAAATCCAGCACTTTATTAGAAAATACAGCACTTGCTCATTATAGATTTCCAACATACTGAAGGTTACTTCACTTCTTCATTATAGATTTCCAACATAGTGAAGATTGCTTTACTTGTTCATTATAGTTTTCCAAAATACTGAAGATTGCTTTATAACGCTGTAAAAAAAACACTAACATAAAGACATGGATATTTTAAATGTTTCTTTTTTAGTTATTGAACGAAACTTTTAAAATGACACCTACTAAATCGTACAACATGTACCGTGGTCAGAAAAACGCCAAACATTTTGTTTTGAGTCACGTTTCGATCACGCTCTATAATGCTTCGGTAGATTTAGTCACGTTTTTAACAAACTTTAGTCATGTTTTCAGCACGCTTTACTGAAATTTTTTGTCGAGAGTTCTAATCAGGAAACGACTTGGGTATGATGGAATGAAAATTTTATTTCTTCATACATATTGTGTTCTTTCTTTCTCCCGATTTTTTGTAATACTTTTGAGTTTTGAACAATTCATCACAAGTGATTGGTTTAATATCTCTTAAATATTAATATTAAACGATTCACTAAAATGAATCTAACATGGGAAAGAATTTATTACTTATACCTACGGTTGGTATCGAAGAGAAACAAACTGAAAAAAGTAAAAATAGGTACGTACGCGTACACGAGGGTAGAATGTCGAGTATAAAATGAAGTAGTTAGGTCATGAATGAACATTGTCCAAATAATATTAAATATTTAATATTATTTACATTAAACTTATGCGAGATTTAAAGTAAGTGATTTGTACTTCGTGTTCAATCAATGACCCATTAACTGTCCAACACTTTCTAATTTGCTTGAAACATTGCTTTGATTTTATGTCACGACCGTTTTGCAATATCTTCGACTACTTTCCTGTCGAAACTGTATTCCGACATGTATGAAATGTCGTTCTCTCAATCAATAAATAAATGCGCTTAGCAAGATCTTGGTGGGATCAAGGTGAGATCTAGGAAAGATCATAATTTTTGTGATATTTGGCAAGTTCTTGCATGGCATTAAAAAGATCGTGGGAAGATCGTGAAAACATTTTGTACGATCATCCATTATCTGGCAATTTTTGCATGGTCTTAGATAGACTGATCTTGGAAAGCTAGATCATGAAAATATCTTTTAAGATGATGGCAAGGTCATGAAAATATCTTGTAAGGTCATGGAAAGGTCATGAAAATATCTTGTAAGGTTATGGCAACGTCATGCAAAAAATTTTACAAATTATGCAAGATCTATCAAGTTCTTGCTTGATCTTAGAAGGATCTTGGTAGGATCTTGGTAGGTTCTTGGAAAGATAATGAAAAATTCTTGTAACAATAAACAATAACAAACAATATGTCAGCTAAGTCAAAACCACTGAACGATAATCAATGGTGAAAAGAGACGAGTAAAAAAATATTCACAAAATCGTGTGTAATCTTAAAACAACGACATTTGTTTTCCATGACGCTACGCAACACTAGGTGTTGGTGACCTCAAAGGCATTTGTGTAACGATCATAGAGCACTTTCGTAACCAAAGCACGCATTTCTGTACCGTCAGCGGACATTTGTGTAACGATCACAGAGCACTTTCGTAACCAAAGCACGCATTTCTTTACCGTCAGCGGGCATTTGTGTAATGATCATAGAGCACTTTCGTAACCAAAGCACGCATTTCTGTACCGTCAGCGGACATTTGTGTAACGATCATAGAGCACTTTCGTAACCAAAGCACGCATTTCTTTACCGTCGGGCATTTGTGTAATGATCATAGAGCACTTTCGTAACCAAAGCGCATTTCTTTACCGTCAGCGGACATTAGTGTAACGTCATTGTGCATTTCGTAACGTAAGGATCACGTAAATTTTCGGGCATTTTGGTACCTGACATCTGTTGAATTGAGAGGTTACAAAATTGTTTACATCCATCATTGCTTACCATCGTTATTTTGGAATATTTGGTGCAATTAATATTAAATAGTGAGGACACATAACATGAGCAGAAAAGGAAAATTTTATAGATGAGGTAAGGGAATTTTTCTACGAATCTTGTCTACCTGATAATTTTAAGCAATTAAACGATTTCATTTTGTAATATATGACAAGTCGCTCACTGGTCAATTGCGGTGAGTTAGATAGATAGATATAAACGTAGACATAAGATGGACGTAAAGGTAAACATAAAGGTACACCCCACCCTGATATCATTTCGTGTATTCACCTCCTCTCCCGGAAGATGTCATTGATACGAACTAAAGCGAGTAAACAGAGACAGGTTTGCAAGTTTATGTTGAAAAGACAGGTATATCCGATCCTTTATTTTGCGCATGCCAATTAACCTCCCCTCCTGGAACATGGGTCCGATACGAACAAATCCAGGGGGTTCGATCATCACGTCTCTTATGATACATGACACAACACTTTACAATGTCAGTACAATAGTAGAAATGTTATGGTCTTCGATGGTTATGTTGCAGAGACACTTGGAAAAGCAGGCATCGCCTCAAGATTTGGAATGTCAAATAGATCACAGAAGCCTTCGGAGCTTGTCTGATTGAAGGTAATGTCAGCATCTCCGGCTGGTGGGGAGAGTCGAAGAAGAGGAGCCAAAACTATCAATAAAAAAGTTGTACACATGGAAAATGTTAGTGTATATAATGTTCTAGACTAAATAAAAACCTGTATGAAGGCAAATAGAAACCTGTATGAGGGCAAAGGGAAACCTGTATGAAGGTAAATGGAAACCTGTATTTTGGCAAAGGGAAACCTGTATGAGGGTAAATGGAAACTTGTATGAGGGCAAAAGGAAGCCTGTATGAGGGTAAATGGAAACCTGTATGAGGGTAAATGGAAACCTGTATGAGGGAAAATGGAGACCTGTATGAGGGCAAATGGAAACCTATGAGGCAAAGGAAACCATATGAGGTTAATGGAAACTTATGAGGGAAAGGAAACCTGTATGAGGGTAAATGGAAACCTGTATGAGGGCAAATGGAAACCTGAATGAGGACAAATGGAGACCTGTATGAGGGCAAAGGAAACCTACAAGAGTTAATGGAAACCTGATGAGGGCAAGGAAACCTCTATAAGGTAAATGGAAACTGAGGGAAAAGGGAAACCTGTATGAGGGTAAATGGAAACCTGTATGAGGGCAAATTGAAACCTGTATGAGGGCAAATGGAGACCTGTATGAGGGCAAATGGAGACCTGTATGAGGGCAAATGGAAACTTGTATCCCTGTGGATGTATCCCTTACTAAGTGGCTCAGTGAGATGGAAAGTCTAAAAGTCAGGAATATTGTGGCCAAAATGGGTTATGTGACCCCTTACTTTTTCAGGATAAAACATGATATAATAATAAGATAACATAAATTTTCACTGTACCTTCAGCTGAAACTAAGTCATCGATCATCGACACATCTATTGGTTCTGTTCAATGAAACAAATACAAAACATTGAAACAAATGTCCTCGAGAGTGAAATTTTCCTTATGTTTGTTTATACCCACCTGGTTTGAACTCATTTGAAAATATGATCTCATTTGCCACTTGTTTTAATTCACACTCTAAACATAAAATATCTGGACCATTGATTGATTGAATAACAAAAATGTTCAACTTTATGCTAGTGGAGTTGTGACCTTCAACTTTATGCCGGGGGGCTGTGACCATCAACTTCATGCAGGGGTTGTGACCATCAATTTCAGATTACAAAATTACTTTGTTGTAAGAAAAATATAAACATCTTTTTAACAAGTTTGAAAATTTTTGCTATCCAATGGATAATGCTATCCAAGTTTCGTGCAACCGGGCCCCAGAGTGTTTACATTTACCTCCATGCAAGGGGTTAATGATGCACAAATATATAAAAAGTGTGTAAAAAATTTATTCAGATATGTGTTTGTGAGAACTGAACAGTTATTTGATTGAATAACAGCAGCATACAACAATGGACGGGGGAGTTGGCAACTTTAAGAAAGGGGCTTAAAAAGCAAATAAAGAACAGATGTTTGTGTTGTATGGCATCAACTTTAATGTTACTGCCGTTATGCACCTCATAAAGGCAGTCATTTTAAAATTACTCAGAACTGCCTTTGCTCCAAATCCAACGTCTTACGTTAAGGAGGATCTGGTAATTTTGCAGAGAAAACGCCAGAACGATTTATAAAATATGAAAGTCAGGTCTATAAAAATGGCATTTTTAGTTTTTTGAGAGCACAATTAGAAAAAAATTACTATGTTTGCAAAAAATGAATGCGAACAACAAGATGAATTCAATTTAATAATTTGTGGCTTTTAATTTATTTCTGAAGAACCAAACAACTATAAACTTTAATTATTATTATTTTACTTCAAAACTAAGACGCTCAAACTTTTTAGTTTGTTTTACAAATAAACAAGACAATATAATTTGAATGTTTTGTCATTTTAACGTTTGGTTAGTCTAACATATTTTCTCGATAATTTAATTGAACTGTCTATTTTAGAGTTTAAAACTACCCGTTTTCCAACTAAAACTGCGCATTTTATAAAATATAAGGCCTTGCCATGATCCTTGCGTTATATAAAAGAAACAAGATGCATTCTATGACCTTGAACGTACACCTACATCAATTTTCGGTAGACTTAACAAATATAACTCAAGAATCAGTATAGTTAGTCCCCATGCCTTTCAAAATAACCGATAAAGAACAAGTATCATGGGGCCAAAGTATTTTTAAATGACCTTTAAATAAGTATTTATAAATAAGTCATATCCAGTGGGAAAATCTTCTATACAGTAGATAGCTATCCACAGGATAAAATTACGTTGTATAAAGAAAAGATAGCAGGTTGAAATCATTATCCAATCGATAACTACCACTATGCCAAGATTGTGAACGCGATTGTACCTATTTTTTAAATATTGTTTATGTGCTTTGTAGATCTGCTTTATTGCATTATGCATTAGTCAATTCCAAGAGTTACCATCCCCCCGGGAATTTGATTTTTTTCGTTTTAATAGTTCAATTTCCCCCCTGCCGGGGAAAGGCAAGAAGGCAAATACTCAGCCCCCAGGCAAGCTGCCAATGGCAAATGCCCCGCTCCGGGACCAATTAATTTTAAATTACGAAAATTAGGAACACTTTTTAATAATTTATTAAACAAGATATATGAGAGATCCTATAAAAAATAATTGTAGTAAAAGAAATTCGTTCCTGAGTTCCTTTCCCTTGCTCCGCTTTTCTCTTGTTGCTTTTGCTTTTCCAGCACCTCTTTTCCTGTTCACAGAAATTTGCGTCAAGTGCTGAAGCCACAATTTAACATCTTTGGTTGACAGCAAACATTTCTTGGCAAGCATGCTTATGTCAGTATCCTCTACACATCCACCACTGTGATTCTTGTGAAAGTCTGCCAGTATTTCAGACGGCGGCCGGCTCCTTATAGCTTTGCCAACTGCATATAAATTTAGCAGCTTTGACACATCGGTGACATAATGCCCATAGCAAACTCCCGTGCATGTTTCGCAATCCTCCACTCGCCAAGGTCTCTTTACATCAGCAACTGGGTAAGGAAAAAAACCATACGATGGTCCGTCTGGATACCAGGAGATGGGAATCGGTACTTAATGTCCCGATTAATAGAAATCAATAGTCGCGACTCGCGTACACAAATGGTATGAAATCCCCGGGGTATTATTGCCGGAGTAAATACCCGGCTCCCCAGGGTCTCTTTTACGAGCAAACTCCCGACCCCCGAGAAAGGTCTCCAGGGCAAATGCCCAGGGGGATCCCGGGTGGGGGGTGGTTACTCATTATTCTGTTTTATCGTCGACATTTGAATTAATTTTCACGCTGAATTATAAGTGAAGACGTATAAAAATGGCCTATCGTTCTCATAATAACGAAAGTGGATATGATGAATCGAGATTTAAGAATGCTGTTGATGAAAATTTTCACTGTTCAATTTGCCTTAACATCGCTAAAGATGCCAGAATGTGTCAACACAATCAACACATCTTTTGCTGTTCTTGTATCGAAGAACATCTACGAGTCAATGCACAAAGATGTCCTCAATGTCAAGATAATTTGACTGTAGCTACACTTCTTCCAGCGCGTGTTATAAATAATATGATTTCAATGTTAAAGATCAACTGCCATTACGCTAGTCGTGGTTGTCCTGAATTTATAAACGTTGAAGATCTTGAAAGACATGTTGAAAGTTGTGGTTTTGCTCCAGTGTTGTGTTCTAATGAACGTTGTGACAAGGAGATAAACAAACGAGACAAGATTAAATGAGTTATGTGAATACAGAAAGCTTCCTTCTCACGACTTCGAAGAGATTAGAGAAATGTTTTAAAAAAGTTTTGATCATGTTGAAAAAGTGAAAATGCAGAAGGTTAAAATAAATGAAAAAATGTATCAAGATAGAAATGAAATAAATAAAAAAAATTAATGTATCTGGTCAGTCTACAAAAGAAATAATGGAATTAAAGAAAGAAATGATGGAATCAAGGAAAGAAATAAAAGATGTTCAACAAACTCTTTTTACAGTGACCCAGGAATTAAAAGATGTTCAAAAAAACTTTCTACAGTGACCAAAGAAATGAAAGAAATGAAAGCCTTGATGTTTCAAATGTTGGAAAAGATGACTATAAATGAGCAACATGTTCAAACATCAACATCACCAGTTGAAATGTTGATGAACTCAAGACGTTCAACAAAATCATTCTACAGTGACCAAAGAAATGAAAGAATCAAGGAAAGAAATAAAACATGTTCAACAAAATCTTTCGACAGTGACCAGAGAAATGACGGAATCAAGGAAAGAAATGAAAGATGTTCAACAAAATCTTTCTACAGTGACCAAAGAAATGATGGAATCAAGGATAGAAATAAAAGATGTTCAACAAAATCTTTCTACAGTGACCAAAGAAATGATGGAATCAAGGATAGAAATAAAAGATGTTCAACAAAATCTTTCTACAGTGACCAAAGAAATGACGGAATCAAGGAAAGAAATGAAAGATGTTCAACAAAATCTTTCTACAGTGACCAAAGCAATGATGGAATCAAGGAAAGAAATGAAAGATGTTCAACAAAATCTTTCTACAGTGACCAAAGAAATGATGGAATCAAGGATAGAAATAAAAGATGTTCAACAAAATCTTTCTACAGTGACCAAAGAAATGACGGAATCAAGGAAAGAAATGAAAGATGTTCAACAAAATCTTTCTACAGTGACCAAAGCAATGATGGAATCAAGGAAAGAAATGAAAGATGTTCAACAAAATCTTTCTACAGTGACCAAAGAAATGATGGAATCAAGGATAGAAATAAAAGATGTTCAACAAAATCTTTCTACAGTGACCAAAGAAATGACGGAATCAAGGAAAGAAATGAAAGATGTTCAACAAAATCTTTCTACAGTGACCAAAGCAATGATGGAATCAAGGAAAGAAATAAAACATGTTCAACAAAATCTTTCTACAGTGACCAAAGAAATGACGGAATCAAGGAAAGAAATGAAAGATGTTCAACAAAATCTTTCTACAGTGACCAAAGAAATGGAACAAATGAAAGCCACGATGTTTCAAATGCTGGAAAAATTGAACATAAATGAACAACATGTTCAAACATTGACATCATCAATTGAAATTGTGATGAACTCAGTAAAATGTGATATTTTGATTGCTGGAGGTTACCAAAACAGGAGTGTTGAAATATTTTCATGGAAGGAGGAGAAATGGTTTAACATTGCATCAATGGAAAATGAACACAAGTATGCTTCATCATTTATTTATAATGATAATTTATTTGTTTTTGGAGGTAACGAATGCAAGTCAATTGAGACATTGAATCTTAATAAGTTTCCTTTGGCATGGAAGACATTTCCCGCAATGCTTCCTTATCAAACTGTTGTTTATAAACAACAAATCTTTCACATTGGAGGATATGATTATGATAAACATACAACATTGGATCAAATTAGTGAAATAAAGATTAGAGGTAAAACATCTTATGTTTTGAAAAAGTTGTGTCATATGCCTGAACCCTAGAGTTGTGACTATGGAGCTGAAGTTGTTGATGATAAAGTTCTTATTTATGGAGGATATGGAAAAGATTGAGAAGTTTTCTCTTCAGTTTTGCAGTTTGATCCAAGGACTTTTACATTTAAGGAATTGCCTCCATTACCTCATCCATTGTGTGGAATGGCAACTGTTCGATGGAGAGATCAAGTTGTTCTTCTTGGAGGCTACGATCATAGCAAAATATCAAACAGTGTTATCATGTATGACACTAAGACATGTAAGATTACAGTCTTACCATCCATGTTAGAAAAGAGATTTAAGTGTTGTGCAGTTATAACTGGTGATACAATTGTTGTCATGGGAGGTCTGAATGATAATCGTGAATATCTTAAAACGGTGGAGTGTTTTAGAATGGGTAGCAGTTATTCATGGATATATCTTCCTTCAATGAATGAACCACGATATGCTGCCATTGCTGAAGTTTTACCTTCTGGAGAGAAGTATTTATAAGCAAGAAAATGTTCTTTAAATAATCAGAACATCATAACTCAGTAAAACTTGTTTATATTAAGTTAAACAAAAAATGCTTAAAATTAAATATGGAAACCTCCAATATCCATATAACCTTTCATTACTACCACAAACTTCTGATGAAATAAATGACTTTAATATTTTACTTTTGACTGAGGAAAAAGAAAATTTATAGCTATAGTTTCTTTACAAAAACTTCAAACTGCAGTGTGTGGATTTGTCTTGTGGTTTTGTAAAGGCTTTGTTCATCAAAATCAAAATCACTGCCAAGTTTACATAGCATATTTTTTAAAACAATTTTCATTTCCCTAACATGAGGTGTGACAAATAAATGATTTGATGAAAACTTAAAAAAGGTAATAAAAATGTCTATCGTCTTCAAAGCGCAAAAATCTTTATATCCTAAAGTTGCCAACAAATTAGATCCATACATGACAACGACATTTGGCTGATCTCTTTACTATATTATATTAACATCAAAAGTAGTTATAACGCATGCGCATGAGAAATGCCAATCACACAACCTGTTCACATTACATAAGAGCTTGAGTTATCAGATATATTTACTGATATGTTACTTTAACTGTTACTTTAAGTTCTGCTTAAGAATTTCATCCAGTGACGTCACTGGGTGTGTTTGAGAATGAAAAAATCTGTGCGAAAATCTGTCACAAGGTTTTTTCAATGGAAATATAATTTATGTATGCAGCAAAATATTTGTTTCATAAATATTTTAAGACCTACTTCCAAATCACCTTTGGGATTATCCATTCAGTAGTAAATCCAACACTTTATTAGTAAATACAGCACTTGCTCATTATAGATTTCCAAAATACTGAAGGTTACTTTACTTGTTCATTATAGATTTCCTACATACTGAAGGTTACTTTACTTGTTCATTATAGATTTCCTACATACTGAAGATTACTTTACTTGTTCATTATAGATTTCCAACATACTGAAGGTTACTTTACTTGTTCATTGTACATTTCCAACATACTGAAGGTTACTTTACTTGTTTATTATAGATTTCCAACATACTGAAGGTTACTTTACTTGTTCATTATAGATTTCCTACATACTGAAGGTTACTTTACTTGTTCATTATAGTTTTCCAACATACTGAAGATTGGTTTATAACGCTGTAAAAAAACACTAACATAAAGACATGGATATTTTAAATGTTTCTTTTTTAGTTATTGAACGAAACTTTAAAATGACACCTACTAAATCGTACAACAAGTACCGTGGTCAGAAAAACGCCAAGCATTTTGTTTTGAGTCACGTTTCGATCACGTTGAATTAATGCTTCAGTAGATTTAGTCATGTTTTTAACAAACTTTAGTCATGTTTTCAGCACGTTTTACTGAAATTTTTTGTCGAGAGTTACCAATCAGGAAACGACTTGGGTACGATGGAATGAAAATTTTATTTCTTCATACATATTGTGTTTTTTCTTTCTCCCGATTTTGTAATACTTTTGAGTTTTGAACAATTCATCACAAGTGATTGGTTTAATATCTCTTAAATATTAATATTAAACGATTCACTAAAATGAATATAACATGGCAAATAATTTATTACTTATACCTACGGTTGGTATCGAGGAGAAACAAACTGAAAAAAGTAAAAATAGGTACGTACGCGTACACGAGGGTAGAATGAAGTAGTTGGGTCATGAATGAACATTGTCCAAATAATATTAAATATTCAATATTATTTACATTAAACTTATGCGAGATTTAAAGTAAGTGATTTGTACTTTGTGTTCAAGCAATGACCCAATAACTGTCCAACACTTTCTAATTTGCTTGAAACATTGCTTTGATTTTATGTCACGAACGTTTTGCTATATCTTCGACTACTTTTCTCTCGAAACTGTTTTCCGACATGTATGAAATGTCGTTCTCTTAATCAATAAATAAATGCGCTAGCAAGATCTTTATGGGATCAAAGTGAGATCTAGGAAAGATCATAAAGAATTTTTGTGATATTTTGGCAAGTTCTTGCATGGCATTAAGAAGATCGTGGGAAGATCGTGAAAATATTTTGTACGATCATCCATTATATGGCAATTTTTGCCTGGTCTAAGATAGACTGATCTTGGAAAGCCAGATCATGAAAATATCTTGTAAGGTCATGGCAAGGTCATGAAAATATCTTGTAAGGTCATGGCAAGGTCATGAAAATATCTTGTAAGATCATCGCAAGGTCATGTAAATATCTTGTAAGATCACGGCAAAGTCATGAAAATATCTTGTAAGGTCATGGCAAGGTCATGCAAAAAATCTTACAAATTATGCAAGATCTATCAAGTTTTTGCTTGATCTTAGAAGGATCTTGGTAGGATCTTGGAAAGATAATGAAAAATTCTTGGAACAATAAAAATTAATAAACAATATGTCAGCTAAGTCAAAACCACTGAACTATAATCAATGGTGAAAAGAGACAAGTAAAAAAATATGCATAAAATCGTGTGTAATCTTAAAAGAACGACATTTGTTTTCCATGACGCTACGCAACACTAGATGTTGGTGACCTCAAGGTTACCTCATTGTTCTTATTCACCACACGGCAATGCCTGACATTGTGTATACATAGTTTGTCTTCGTCCATAGAACATGAGTTGTCTAACAACGATATAGCTTGACATGAATCCAAAGTTAATGCCGTTCTTCATCTTTGCAATGATGGTATCATGGTTACAAAGTATAGGTCAAAGTAAATTATGTAGTGCGCGCTCGATGCAATAGACTGTAAAAAAGTTTCAACTTTCTACACAACCATCAATAGCTGCACTACCAGATCACCCTAAATTATAGACGCTTACATTGTTATACGTCTTTTCGTTACCAGCTCACCCCCATAAAATTTTTTACAAGCACCTCGTAAAAAATATAAAATCCGTCTATAAGATAGATACTAAAGTAGACAAAAACGTCGACATATAGGTAGTAATATCGTTGATCCTTTTGGTAACATTTTGCCCTATTTGTATCCTGCTGACAGAGGTGAAACTAGAACGTTAATTGGGGGGGGGGTATATATTATATATTCAGCTCTGCCCTGCTGATTTCTTTTGTTTGCGATGTTAGTTTCAAAAGAAGTCAGCAGGGCAGAGCTGAATACATGAATATTTACCACCCCAATTAACAGTCTAGTTTCGCCCCTGCCTTCTGAAATCCTTTTCGTAACCCTTTTTGATCCGTTTGTAACCTATCTTCTCCTATTTGTAACGTATGGTCTTTTTAGTGACCTTTTGTGGTCCTTTTTGTAACATTGATAGATAGATAGATAGAGAAAAGTATAGGCATTTTTGTAACCTTAATAGGGAAATTTCGTAACGAAAGCAGGCATTTTCGTAAAATAGTCGGGCATTTTCGTAACATTTGAGGCATTTTGTAACGTTTGTCGGGCATTTGTGTAACGATCGTAGTGCACTTTCATAACCAAACCACGCATTTCTGTACCATCAGCGGCCATTTGTGTAACCATCATACAGCACTTTTGTAACCACAGCACGCATTTCTTTACCGTCAGCGGGCATTTGTGTAACGATCATACAGCACTTTTGTAACCACAGCACGCATTTCTTTACCGTCAGCGGGCATTTGTGTAACGATCATACAGCATTTTTGTAACCACAGCACGCATTTCTTTACCGTCAGCGGGCATTTGTATAACCATCATACAGCACTTTGTAACCACAGCACGCATTTCTTTACCGTCAGCGGGCATTTGTGTAACGATCATACAGCACTTTTGTAACCAAAGCACGCATTTCTTTACCGTCAGCGGGCATTTGTATAACGATCATAGAGCACTTTTGTAACCACAGCACGCATTTCTTTACCGTCAGCGGGCATTTGTGTAACGATCATACAGCACTTTTGTAACTACAGCACGCATTTCTTTACCGTCAGCGGAAATTTGTGTAACCATCATACAGCACTTTGTAACCAGCACGCATTTCTTTACCGTCAGCGGGCATTTGTGTAACGATCATACAGCACTTTTGTAACCACAGCACGCATTTCTTTACCGTCAGCGGGCATTTGTGTAACGATCATACAGCATTTTTGTAACCACAGCACTCATTTCTTTACCGTCAGCGGGCATTTGTATAACGATCATAGAGCACTTTTGTAACCACAGCACGCATTTCTTTACCGTCAGCGGGCATTTGTGTAACGATCATAGAGCACTTTTAACCACAGCACGCATTTCTTTACCGTCAGCGGGCATTTGTATAACGATCATAGAGCATTTTTAACCACAGCACGCATTTCTTTACCGTCAGCGGGCATTTGTGTAACGATCATACAGCACTTTTGTAACTACAGCGCATTTCTTTACCGTCAGCGGAAATTGTGTAACATCATACAGCACTTTTAATACAGCACGCATTTCTTTACCGTCAGCGGGCATTTGTGTAACGATCATAGCACTTTTGTAACCACAGCACGCATTTCTTTACCGTCAGCGGGCATTTGTGTAACGATCATACAGCACTTTTGTAACCACAGCACGCATTTCTTTACCGTCAGCGGGCATTTTGTATAACGATCATGAGCACTTTTGTAACCACAGCACGCATTTCTTCCGTCAGCGGGCATTTGTGTAACGATCATACAGCATTTCTCCTTGATGGTTGTATTTTGTCAAATGAGTGATTGCGCTGTGATATTTTACGGAAAAGCTACGAGCGGTCTTAATTTCTTCATGGTCGTTCGTAAAATGCATTTAGAATTTTCACCATTCCTCTCAAGATACAAAGGAAAATGTGCTACGTCACATGTCTGGCGCATATCTTTATTTCTTTTATAAATTTATAATTGCGGAAAACAAACAATTCAATTTCTCATCTAAAATGTATTGATGATTGATTTGCAAAATTCCCTATGTCAGATTTTATTGACTTTGCACAATGATAAGTTTGCACAGGTTGATGCACGCATATCAGTAGACCAATCAGAGATCAGCTCACGCATTTCATTGTTTTCATTTTATAAATACTATATTACTGATAAATCTGGTCACAAGCAATTTATTTTTGCCGAGTCATCATATGTGCATCTATATTGAACAAGTCAATTGGTCGAGGTAAGTGTCTGTTTAATGTATATTGATATTAGTTCAAAGTTAATACATCGCTAATATGCTGCAATTTTTTCTTATAAAAATTTTTCTCGCGGGGGTAAAGTTCATGTTTTTGTCATTAACTTATTTTATTATTTTTTGGATCGTCACGCGAATGTAAAAATTGAGTAATAACAGCTAGACATCATATTTCCATCTTTTGCACGTCTTTTTGTGATTGAATTTGTTTGTAGCAACAAATAAAATCAAAATTTGTTAATGTTTATTCACAGCCATAAAAAAATGTTAGTATTTGTGACTCCATTCTATGTTATATGAATAGTTCAAATTGAGGATAGAATTACAAATGACCGCCAAAATTACATCTGCCTCGTTATAGTAGGAAAAATTATCCATTAACGCATAATCTGCAAATTTTTTCATTATTATAGCAAAGTTGATTTTATCCAAGTGAAAAATTTCTTATTGTGGTCTTCGGTAAAAAAATTCAATTAGTACTTATTCCTTTTTTTAACGTTAGACTTGCATGTACAATAATTTTATATGATGGACTGTAGTTTATTGCATGAAAGAGCTGTTAGCATGAACATAGTAAATAATTAAAAATTAGGAGAGTTATTACAAAGGTATATGCCTGATGTTAAAACAAAAGTGAAGTTATGTTACTTGTTCAGGGTTCAGATTTCCTATATATCATTAGTTGTGTGCCACCCACTTTAACAACTTAAAATGCTAGATTATGATCTTAAGTCTCTATTATTCATCTCTCTTTTTTTAACAACAACAAAATGATATGTTTAAGATACGTCGTGCTTCTGCTGGCTTTTTTACATTGCTCGCACACCTTCCCTCACGTAATAATACAAGATTTCGAAAAACCAGGTAGATAATTAACTTTTTTGCACTACAGGGAGAGCAATTAAGATTGTAATCAAATTTTAAGATAGAGCCGGTTATTTCTGCCTGTTCTTCAGTCAAGCTGGTTGATGCCCTCGACCGAAAAAGATTCCAATGTATGAACGTTTTATGCCGTCGTACCAATTGCTAATTTTTACTCGGATTTTTGCTCATAACTTTTTCACGTAAGTTATTCTAATATTGTAAGTTTATTTTATCTTGAAATTGTAACACGAACTTCTAACTAACTTTGTAATCATAAATCCACGAGACTTAGATATAGAGTGTTTTCATCTTTGATGTAAGTACAACTTTTGAACGCTGCCTTTCCCTGTAATTTTGAAGCCGCTTCTCCTCAGTCCTTCCACACAATAAAAACACAAATTTATTTCATGTAACGTTTATAGAGATACTGAAAAACTTCTTTTTAGATAAATACACCATATTTAAAATCAGCAACTTAGTCTAAATATTCTTTATTATGTAATGACTCATACTTTGGAAATCATGAAAGAAAGGCCAGCTTCTTTGAAAAAAACGCACAACCTTCGCGGGCTTTAATTATAACTTTGATTATTTCAATCTTCACAACAGTTCCTCAAGTGCATCACGAATGAAGCCAAAATTTGGGATGTAATGTGAATAATTTATGTTAATTTCATGCCCTGTTAAGCATTGGATTAACTCAACGTCACATGACGGCACCACCAACCATGGCCGTTTTGACGTCACATGCAAACTCTGTATAAATTGTTGACTATATTGCATTTGTCATGCAAAATCACATGCACTACACACTGGTGAAACTTGCATGGAATTTACTTTCAAAGTATTAGCTCTATTACGTTTGTTACTGCGAAAAAGCTCACGTACAGTTAGTGGTTTGCAGAGTATTATGATTTGTTGATTTAACAATTGATGACGATTGCTCTGTGCGTACCTGCCACAATTGAATTATACGGTCACTTACAAAACATTTCTGTTTACTGATTCTTAATGAAAAGCATAATACAACTAATTTTAATGATTTTTAAAAATGCCAAACTGACTTTTAGTGAATTTTTACGATTTTTCCAATGCATATAAAACATCACCTCCAATTTTTGGGTGGAATATAGGTCATCTACCCTGTCACAATCATATCAACTTTCAAAAAGACTTAGATAGTTTTCTTTATATATACAAAATCAAGAGAGTGGTCTAAATCTGAATGATTTCAGTAATATCTTTCTTTTTTAGGCAAAGCATTAACGGCTTGCCACTGTCCAAATGGTAGTAAAGGAGTTGAACGCTTTTATCACTGCTTTCCTCATGAGACGTTTTGTGGATATGTGTACAAACTACATGATGGTGTTTGCTGCATCTGAGAACGACTGTGTGATAAAAAATTAGCATATTAAAACTAAAAAAAATAGTTATGTTATTTGCTCTTGTTATTTGATGTAATATTAAATTATTTGAAATGTAAATTTTTTTGACTTTGCTGATATCTCACGCGTGGGCCTTACAAAATACATTAAGAGCAGTAAGACAGCCAAAAAAGAATGTTGCTAGGACATAATTTCTTGATTTAACAAGATCAAATTTCGGTAAATGCTCTTGTGTGTATTTTTGCATGTTGTGAGAGGAAGTGTGAAATCACTTGACGTTGGTATTTGTATCGACACTTCTGAATTAAGTTAACATTTAGTTTTTTGCTTGAAGTTGATTTGAAAAGTTGTTGATGGATTTGTGTCAATTAGATATTGTGTAGTTTTTCCTTGATTCTGGTGGGAAAATGACTGTACGATTCTCCAATGCGTCAGGAATTACGTCGAAAACATTGGCGAGAACGCTCAAGAAGGGGCAAGGTATGCTTCCGGAAGTTACCGGAGCTCTTACTCGTATAAATTAGTTTCCATTCTCAATTTACTTACAACCTCGATAATGTTACAGGGTTGATTTCTCCAAATGTAAATTTAATTTGAAAGTTTATAAAGGTCTCCAAAGATCAGTTTTGAAAATAATAAGTTTGCATGGTAAAATACGGCACAACTTAAAAATCCTTAAACGGGATTGGATCGAATTTTTCAAGGCTCATACGAACACGTGGACAACCAATACATGGTAAATTAAACAGGATTTCTCCTTGATCGTTGTATTTTGTCAAATGAATGATTGCGCTGTGATATTTTACGGAGAAAGCTACGAACGTTCTTAACAGTTTCTTCGTAGTCGTTTGTAAATGCATTTAAATTTTTCACCATCCTTCTAAGAGATAAAGGAAAATGTGCTACGTCATGTGTCTGGCACACAAAAATTAACATTTTCTTTGTTTTTTTTAACAAGTGCCACACTCAGTAAACGTTGATATGCCAAAGTATTAAAAGAAACATGAAATACTACAATGAATAATCATTATCATTATGCAAATAACCTTATGGACTTTGTGATACTGAAGACCGACTGGGAGACTGGGACAACTTGTACTTAATGTTCACATTTCATTGTAAGAGTTTGAGAGCGTAAAAATCGTTGATACAAATGGCGGATTTTTCAAGAAAAGCGTGAACAATTTTTATTCTTATTTTTTCTGTTCATATCCAACCATAGAATAAGGTTTCCCAGCTCCTGTCTGTCTATAAGAAAACAGTGAGCAATTGAAACCTGAAAAAAAGAAAGGAATTAATTATCCGGAAACTGGAAAGAATCGGTGAAAAATTCCTATCTTGAAAATTTTATCCATCTTAAAAATGGTAGAAAATAAAAAATCAAATATGAGGGAACCATCCGTAAAAACGCAACAAAAACGGTATTCATTCCAAAAATATGCTTCAAAAGTGTAGCTTTAATCGTCACACATAATCCTCTTATGACTGAGATCTAAGCTTGTTTGTAATCTGGGACGCTGTAATCTGTGTAATCTGTAACGCTGAGTTTATTATCAAAATCCAGAGCGTATGTAAGACGCCGTAAGTAATGGCACCGCCACTGCAGGTATTGAAATTTTTTAATAAACCTATTTCTGAAGATCTTCTTTTTTATGTACACCATCAGTGACGTAGCCAAAGAGCAATTTTAGTCCTGGGACCAGTTATATCAAAGTCGGGCAAGTTATCCAATGGATAAGTCATATCAAGTGAAAAAATCTTCTATACAGTAGAAAGCTATCAGTAGGATAAAATTACGTTGTATAAAGGAAAGATAGCAGGTTGAATCATTATCAAACGATAACTAACACTATGCCAAACTTGTGTACGCGTTGTACCTATTTCTTTAAATATTGTTTATGTGTTTTGTAGATCTGCTTCATTGCATTATTCTCCTTTATCGTCGACATTTGGATTAATTTTCACGCTGAATTATAAGTGAAGACGTATAAAAATGGCCTATCGTTCTAATAATAATGAAAGTTGATATGATGAATCGAGATTTCAAAATGCTGTTGATGAAAATTTTCGCTGTTCAATTTGTCTCAACGTCGTTAAAGATCCCAGAATGTGTCAGCATAACGAACACATCTTTTGTCGTTCTTGTATTGAAGAACATCTACGAGTTAATGCACAAAGATGTCCTCAATGTCAAGATAATTTGACGGTAGCTACACTTCTTCCAGCGCGTTTTGTAAACAACTTGATTTCAAAGTTTAAGATAAGCTGCGACTACGCTAATCGTGGTTGTCCAGAATTTATCAACGTTGAAGATCTTGAAAGACATGTTGAAAATTGTGGTTTTGCTCCAGTGTTGTGTTCTAATGAACGTTGTGACAGGGAGATAAACAAACGAGACAAGATTAAACATGAAACTGAGTTATGTGAGTACAGAAAGACTGCATCTCACTACTTTGAAGAGATTAAAGAAACGTTTCAACGAAGTTTTGATCATGAGGAGCAAGAGGTGATGGTAACATCGTTTAAACAGCCAAATCGACAACATGCTAAGTGCTAACCAGACCCTATCTCAACAGTCTCTTCGTTTACAATGTCATAAACATCAGTCACATTTTCTTCCTGTTCCTGACGCTGACAATGTTTCTTAAAGTACTCCCTCCGACAATGACCAAATTGTACGTCTTTTACAAGTTTCGTAGAGGCTCCCACGTGTAGCAATGCGCACCTTGTCGAGCAATAGCTTGTCTTGCAATTAATCTGTTCCTCAAAGTTGAACAATGTAGGCGGTTGGTTTGAGGAGTCTTTATCATGTTAACTTGGGAAAAAATTCTCTCGACACAGGCAGATGAGTGAGGCAAAACAAGCAGGTTGCACATAAAATTTCCCAAAAGTTCAAACTTTTTATTGCCGTTACCATCTTTATAGCTCTAATCTCATCCCAAAACTGTGTTGGGGAATTAGTCGTGCCTTTAAGAGAGTCTGTGGCATATAGCAATTGCCTCCAATGATCATCAAGTTCATCCAATTGATCTTCAGACACTAAAGACGGAAAATGGTGTGCTAATACAGCTATCGAGTTTAATGACCGCCTGCTGGATAATGCCTCTGAAGGGTTGACTGCTGATAGCAAAGCTAGAACTCCATCACTTTTGAAAGAAAACCTCTTCTTTATTTGGTCACATAACTCAACGAGAAAGTTACGGCAATCGTTTCTGAAACGTTGTTCTTGGCTACCCAAGGACTGTTGGGTGCACAGGACTGTACATCTTCCTCCAAGATGAATATCGTTGAGAGGCTTGTATAGCTTTACGTCATTTGGGTGTGAAGGTTGTCAAGCTTATTTATAAACACGTGTCACACTTATTTATAAATTCATAATACGAGATAATATTACCTATAAAATATTTAAACAAAATATCCCAAGATTTTACAATATTTCGAAAAAAACTCCCAAGATCCCAAGCTTGAGCAGAAAATCCCAAGATCTTGGGAGAAATCCCAAGGCGTGGCAACACTGCCCACAAATGCTGTTTCGTTCCAGTTTGGCGAGTTATGATTAAACCAATCAGAAATCTATTTGTGTTTGTTTATAATTTTCGTTTTTGACCAATCATGGTTTCGTAAAATCTGACGAGCACACGTGTGACCCCATGATCCTTTAGCAAAATATTCTCCCTAATTATTGCTTTGGCAGTTCTGGCAGTCAGGATATTTTACATAAGAAGTTTCAAATATCGCAAATACAAAAGACAAGCATTTTCTAAAAAATCTCGGCTGGCACGAGCATCCCATCGCAAGACTGCTTCAAAATCGGTTTGCAAAGTTCGCATGTTAAGTATGTAATAACGAAGCTCCGGAGAAGTGTAGCACTCAACCAGAGTTGCCAGATCGTGAACAAAGTTCACAGATTTGTTAACTTTTTGCTCTCTTCATGAACATTTCATGAACATTAAAAGTTTGTGAACTTTCCTAAATATTATGCATTTTTGTATTTTCATCATTTTCATAAAGATTGTATAGATAAATCATAGTTCAATGAAAAGAAAATCTTCCTAGCCCGATAGTTCTTACAAAACAACGACGATTTTAAGATAATCCGATGTTTTCCGAATACTTCCGACAGTTTTCGAAAATATCCGAGGTTTTACGAAAATTTCCGAGTTAATCCGTTAACCTCCGATCTTAAAAATTAGATGTAATATAAACTTTTTGCCATTTTTGTGAACTTTTGACGGCTCAGACCTCTGTCAGCGTCATCCGTCACAGCATCGCTATGGCAAGGCAAATAACATTGATCTCAGTCTGAAAACTTTTTGATATCATGCTTAATCTCATCCAGCAGCGGATCTCGGGGTAGTCAGTCACAGCGAGCCGCAGTGAGCAAAACAAATTAGAGCTGCTTAATTTTAAATTCAGAGTACTTTGAGAAAAGCACTATTGGTTTTGAATTTCTAAAGAATAAAATTTCACCATTAGACTTGTCTCTGAGGGACTTAGAAATGTAAATATATTGCAAAATATGCAGCAGTAATTTCTTTTGACTAACCCTATATCCGCCACTGACCTCAAGCATTAATTATTAATTATATAACAATTGCTTTTATTCATAAATATGTTTGGCGATTGACTGATCATTATAAATTTTTATCACCCCGAAGAAAAATGTCAATTACTTTCATATCATATGATTTACCTCAGTTAGTTACTTTCTACTTTGCCTCCCTTCATCCTGCTCTCCTGGCCCCCAACTTTGCCTCCCCCCCGGCCTAGTGATGCGACTAACGTCAAATTGAGCAGTTTATTCAACAATAGAAATTAGCACTTGAGCTACAGATCAAGCACTTAAATATATTTATGCAGCAATACAATATTATTTACGATATAAAAAGCTTTTATGGCTAGCAAGTAGCATGCACTTGTTAAAAGCCTATGGTATTGGTTAACAAATACCAAACTTTAGCAAAGTGTCCATTATCTTTGAACTAGAAATGAGATGTTTTGTTTTTGAAAGGTGGGTAAAAAGAAAAAACTTCGAGGAGTCTATATTTCCACCAAAAACCAAGTCTAGCCGACAATTTAAAAAAATATAGTAAAAAACAAATTCTGAAGAACCAACCTTGAGATTACAAATTGTGAACAAGATTAAGAATTCAACTGCAGGTGAAAATCAATGTGACCTTTATAGAATGGTTTTGTCACAAGACTTTCTTTTCCCAACACAAAGCCTGTCATGAGGAAAATTTGACATTTAAGAAATGAATGATGTTCACTTCCCCGCTTTCGAGAGCGCTCACAAACTTCTCCGAGCTTTGCATAAGCATGTGCGAAGACGAAAAACATCTTTTATTTCTTTTATCAATTTATAATAATGGAAAACAAACAATTCAATTTCTCATCTAAAATGTTTTGATGATCGATTTGCAAATTCATTTTGTCAGATTTTATTGACTTTGCTCAGTGATAAGTTTGCACAGGCTGATGCACGCATATCTATAGACCAATCAGCTCACGCATTTTATTATTCTATTTTAAATATAGCTATATTACCAATAAATCTTGTCACAAGCAATTTATTTTCGCCGAATCATCATATGTGAATCTATATTGAACAAGTAAATTGAGCGAGGTAAATATCTGTTTAATATGTATTGATATTAGCTCAAAGTTAATACATCGCTAATATATGCTGTAATTTTTTCTTATAAAAATTTTTCTCGCGCGTGTAAAGTTCATGTTTTGTTATTCACTTATTTTATTATTTTTTGGATCGTCACGCGAATGTAAAAATTGAGCAATAACAGCTAGACATCATATTTCCATCTTTTGTGCCTATTTTGTGGTTGAATTTGTTTGTAGTAACAAATTAAATAAAAAATTGTCAATACTTATCCACAGGCATAAAAAATTTTGGACTCTCAAAAATTAGTATTTGTGATTCCTTTCCATGTTGTATACATAGTTCAAATTGTGCAAAGAATTACCGGCATAATTACATCTGTCTCGTTACAGCACAATAAATAGAGATTCATGATTAATGGACTTATATCAGGAAAAAAATTTTCCATTAACGCGTAATCTGCAAATTAATTAGCTATAGTAGCAAAGTTGATTTTATCCAAGTGAAAAATTTCTTATTGTGGTCTTCGATAAAAAAGATTAAAATATTATATGATGGACTGCAGTTTATTGCATGAAACACCAGGGTTAACTATGACCTGATAGCTGTTAGCTTGATAATATTAAATAATTTAAAACGAGGAGCGTTATAAGAAAGGTGCTTGATGTTAAAACAAAAGTGAAGTTATGTTACTCGTTCTGCGTTCAGATTTCATATATATCATTAGTCTTGTACCACCCACTTTAACAACTTAAAATGCTAGATTATGATCTTCAATCTCTATTATTCATCTCTCTTTTTTTAGCAACCACAAAATGATATGCCTAAGATACGTCGTGCTTCTGCTGGCTTTTTTACATTGCTCGCACACCTTCCCTCACGTAATAATACAAGATTTCGAAAAACCAGGTAGATAATTAACTTTTTTGCTTTACAGGGAGAGCAATTAAGAGTGTAATCAAATTGTAAGATAGAGCCGGTTATTTCTGCCTGTTCTTCAGGCAAAATCTTGAAAACTTGTCCATGCCCTCAACCGAAAAAAATCGAATAAATGCACTTTTTATGCTGTCGTATATGATGAGATTCACTAATTTTTGCTGAGATTTTTGCTCATAACTTTTTCACGTAATTTATTCCAATATTGTAAGTTTAATTTATCTTGAAATTGTAAGAGAGTTGTAACCCTGAAGCTCAGTTTTTTTGGCTTTGTAACGACTGAAAAATAAGATTGCAAGTTGTAATGAAATTTGAAAGTTGAAGGTGACAAGGACAATTTCAGCCGTGCGAGGCATTTTTAGAAGATGAATACTTAAATTACAAATTTACAACAAAGTAAGAGCAAAGGTATTCATATCTTCAACATATTCATTGATATTGAAGTTGTTCACATATGAACTGGTTGAAAACTTTGCTTCGCTTAATGACAACAGAGGTACTTTAATTCGCATATTTTGATGATGTACATCTCGTAGAGTTTAATGATACCGTTTTCAACTTACTATTGTTCATCAAATTGTCTTTCTGATTATTTTTCTATGTCGATTTGTTTTGTTTCTTCACTGATATAATAAAGACGTAATTTGAAATTATTATGATATTTGCGATGTGAATAACAAAGTGTTGTTAAATAAGTAAATTTGTAGCAATCTTCCATAAACGTCATTGCAGATGGAATTTTGGTAGCAGTTGTGGGATTCTGTAATATTTTTACATTTTTTAAGAAGTAGCAGCATCATATAATCTCCAGTTGGTTTCAAAACAATGCAGGTCGACTTTGTACCATCTCAGTTTTCTGCAATTATAAAGCCAAGAAGACAAAATTTTTAGGACTAAATATCTTTGCCGGTTGTTCTGTCCCTTTCATAAAAATTTTGCTCGAATCAAAAGTTTGTAGGACGAATAAAAACACAAAACTGTGATTTTGTAAAACAAAAGTATAGTAAAGTGGGACCGATACCCCCTCCCCCCCCCGTAGGTCATAATCAGATGAGCCACTTTCCGGATTCAATTATCTTACTATATTTTATACATGGATGCGTTCTCCAGTGTAATATACATATCAGTGCATCACATGCAAACTCTGTATAAATTGTTGACTATGTTGCACTTGTCATGCAAAATCACATGCATTACACACTGGCGAAACTTGTATGAAAATTACTTTCAAAGTAATAGCTCTATTGTGTTTGTCTGGTTTAAAACACTGTAAAAAAGCTCACGTACAGTTAGCGGTTTGCAGAGTGTTATGATTTGTTGATTTAACAATTGATGGCGATTGCTCTGTGTGTACCTTCAACAATTGAATTATACGGTCACTAAAAACACTTCCGTTTACTGATTCTTAATGAGAATCACAATACAACTAATTTTAATAATTTTAAAAAATGCCTATGTAGTTATAATTTTATAATTATTGACTCTTTAAAGGCTATCTATATGTAAGAATGACATATGAACTTGACTGCAAATTTTGACAAACTGACATTTAGTCAATTTTTACGATTTTTCCAACGCATATAAAACATCCCCTCTTAATTTTTGGTAAGAATGTAAGCCATCCACCATGTCACAATCATATAAGATTTAAAAAGACGTATATAGATTGTTCTCTTTATTTGAATATATACTAATAGAAAGGGTTAAAATCTGAATGATTTCAGTAATATCTTTCTTTTTTAGGCAAAGCATTAAAGGCTTGCCACTGTCCAAATGGTAGAAAAGGAGTTGAACGCTTTTATCACTGCCATCCTCGTGAGAAGCTTTGTGGTTATGTGTACGAACTACATTATGGTGTTTGCTGCATCTGAGAACGATTGTGTGATCTAAATTTAGCATATTAAAACTAAAAAAATAGATATGTTATTTGATCAAGTTATTTGATGGGTTATTCATATAATATTAAATTATTTGAAATGTAAAATTTTTATGATTTTGTCTTAGCTTATATCACGCGTGGAACTTACCAAATACATTAAGAGCAGTAAAAGAGCCTAAAAAGAATGTTGCTAGGATATAATTTGTTAATTTGAAAAGAGCAAGTTTTGGTAAAAGCACTTGTGTACTTTTGCATGATGTGAGAGGAAGTATGAAATAACTTGACATTGGATTTGTATCGACTCTTTTGAATTAAGTTTGTGTCAACAATTTTAAAACAAGCAAGTTAACATTTGTTTTGCATGAAGTTGATTTCAAAAGTTGTCGATAAAGAATTTGTCAGTTATGTTTGGTTTTTTTCTTGATTCTGGTGAGAAAAATTACTTCAAGATTCTCCAATGCATTGGGAATTACATCGAATTCGAAACGCTCAAGAAGGGGCAAGGTATGCTTCCAGAAGTAACCGCAGCTCTTACTCGTAGAAATTAGTTTCCATTCTCAATTTAATTACAACTTCGATAATGTTACAGGGTTGATTTCTCCAAATGTAAATTTAATTTGAACGTTGATGAAGGTCTCCAAAGATCAGTTTTGAAAATAATAAGCTTGAATGTTAAATTACGGCACAACTTAAATATCCTTAAACGAGATTGGATCGACTTTTTCAAGGCTCATACGAACACGTGGACACCTAACACATGGTAAATTAAACAGGATTTCTCCTTGATCGTTGTATTTTGTCAAATGAGTGATTGCGCTGTGATATTTTACGGAGAAAGCTACGAGCGTTCTTAACAATTTCTTCATGGTCGTTCGTAAAATGCATTTAGAATTTTCACCATCCCTCTCAGAGATACAAAGGAAAATGTGCTACGTCACATGTCTGGCGCATATCTTTTATTTCTTTTATAAATTTATAATTGCGGAAAACAAACAATTCAATTTCTCATCTAAAATGTATTGATGATTGATTTGCAAAATTCCCTTTGTCAGATTTTATTGACTTTGCACAATGATAAGTTTGCACAGGTTGATGCACGCATATCAGTAGACCAATCAGAGATCAGCTCACGCATTTCATTGTTTTCATTTTATAAATACTATATTACTGATAAATCTGGTCACAAGCAATTTATTTTTGCCGAGTCATCATATGTGCATCTATATTGAACAAGTCAATTGGTCGAGGTAAGTGTCTGTTTAATATATATTGATATTAGTTCAAAGTTAATACATCGCTAATATGCTGCAATTTTTTCTCATAAAAATTTTTCTTGCGGGGGTAAAGTTCATGTTTTTGTCATTAACTTATTTTATTATTTTTTGGATCGTCACGCGAATGTAAAAATTGAGTAATAACAGCTAGACATCATATTTCCATCTTTTGCACGTCTTTTTGTGATTGAATTTGTTTGTAGCAACAAATAAAATCAAAATTTGTTAATGTTTATTCACAGCCATAAAAAAATGTTAGTATTTGTGACTCCATTCTATGTTATATGAATAGTTCAAATTGAGGATAGAATTACAAATGACCGCCAAAATTACATCTGCCTCGTTATAGCAGGAAAAATTATCCATTAACGCGTAATCTGCAAATTTTTTCATTATTATAGCAAAGTTGATTTTATCCAAGTGAAAAATTTCTTATTGTGATCTTCGGTAAAAAAATTCAATTAGTACTTATTCCTTTTTTTAACGTTAGACTTGCATGTACAATAATTTTATATGATGGACTGTAGTTTATTGCATGAAAGAGCTGTTAGCATGAACATAGTAAATAATTAAAAATTAGGAGAGTTATTACAAAGGTATATGCCTGATGTTAAAACAAAAGTGAAGTTATGTTACTTGTTCAGGGTTCAGATTTCCTATATATCATTAGTCGTGTGCCACCCACTTTAACAACTTAAAATGCTAGATTATGATCTTAAGTCTCTATTATTCATCTCTCTTTTTTTAACAATAACAAAATGATATGTTTAAGATACGTCGTGCTTCTGCTGGCTTTTTTACATTGCTCGCACACCTTCCCTCACGTAATAATACAAAATTTCGAAAAACCAGGTAGATAATTAACTTTTTTGCACTACAGGGAGAGCAATTAAGATTGTAATCAAATTTTAAGATAGAGCCGGTTATTTCTGCCTGTTCTTCAGTCAAGCTGGTTGATGCCCTCGATCGAAAAAGATTCCAATGTATGAACGTTTTATGCCGTCGTATATCAATTGCTAATTTTTACTCGGATTTTTGCTCATAACTTTTTCACGTAAGTTATTCCAATATTGTAAGTTTATTTTATCTTGAAATTGTAACACGAACTTCTAACTAACTTTGTAATCATAAATCCACGAGACTTAGATATAGAGTGTTTTCATCTTTGATGTAAGTACAACTTTTGAACGCTGCCTTTCCCTGTAATTTTGAAGCCGCTTCTCCTCAGTCCTTCCACACAATAAAAACACAAATTCATTTCATGTAACGTTTATAGAGATACTGAAAAACTTCTTTTTAGATAAATACACCATATTTAAAATCAGCAACTTAGTCTAAATATTCTTTATTATGTAATGACTCATACTTTGGAAATCACGAAAGAAAGGCCAGCTTCTTTGAAAAAAACGCACAACCTTCGCGGGCTTTAATTATAACTTTGATTATTTCAATCTTCACAACAGTTCCTCAAGTGCATCACGAATGAAGCCAAAATTTGGGATGTAATGTGAATAATTTATGTTAATTTCATGCCCTGTTAAGCATTGGATTAACTCAACGTCACATGACGGCACCACCAACCATGGCCGTTTTGACGTCACATGCAAACTCTGTATAAATTGTTGACTATATTGTATTTGTCATGTAAAATCACATGCACTACACACTGGTGAAACTTGCATGGAATTTACTTTCAAAGTATTAGCTCTATTACGTTTGTTACTGCGAAAAAGCTCACGTACAGTTAGTGGTTTGCAGAGTATTATGATTTGTTGATTTAACAATTGATGACGATTGCTCTGTGCGTACCTGCCACAATTGAATTATACGGTCACTTACAAAACATTTCTGTTTACTGATTCTTAATGAAAAGCATAATACAACTAATTTTAATGATTTTTAAAAATGCCAAACTGACTTTTAGTGAATTTTTACGATTTTTCCAATGCATATAAAACATCACCTCCAATTTTGGGTGGAATATAGGTCATCTACCCTGTCACAATCATATCAACTTTCAAAAGACTTAGATAGTTTTCTTTATATATACAAAATCAAGAGTGGTTTAAATCTGAATGATTTCAGTAATATCTTTCTTTTTTAGGCAAAGCATTAACGGCTTGCCACTGTCCAAATGGTAGTAAAGGAGTTGAACGCTTTTATCACTGCTTTCCTCATGAGACGTTTTGTGGATATGTGTACAAACTACATGATGGTGTTTGCTGCATCTGAGAACGACTGTGTGATAAAAAATTAGCATATTAAAACTAAAAAAAATAGTTATGTTATTTGCTCTTGTTATTTGATGTAATATTAAATTATTTGAAATGTAAATTTTTTTGACTTTGCTGATATATCACGCGTGGGCCTTACAAAATACATTAAGAGCAGTAAGACAGCCAAAATAGAATGTTGCTAGGACATAATTTCTTGATTTAACAAGATCAAATTTCGGTAAATGCTCTTGTGTGTATTTTTGCATGTTGTGAGAGGAAGTGTGAAATCACTTGACGTTGGTATTTGTATCGACACTTCTGAATTAAGTTAACATTTAGTTTTTTGCATGAAGTTGATTTGAAAAGTTGTTGATGGATTTGTGTCAGTTAGATATTGTGTAGTTTTTCCTTGATTCTGGTGGGAAAATGACTGTACGATTCTCCAATGCGTCAGGAATTACGTCGAAAACATTGGCGAGAACGCTCAAGAAGGGGCAAGGTATGCTTCCGGAAGTTACCGGAGCTCTTACTCGTATAAATTAGTTTCCATTCTCAATTTACTTACAACCTCGATAATGTTACAGGGTTGATTTCTCCAAATGTAAATTTAATTTGAAAGTTTATAAAGGTCTCCAAAGATCAGTTTTGAAAATAACAAGTTTGCTTGGTAAAATACGGCACAAAAAATCCTTAAACGGGATTGGATCGAATTTTCAAGGCTCATACGAACACGTGGACAACCAATACATGGTAAATTAAACAGGATTTCTCCTTGATCGTTGTATTTTGTCAAATGAATGATTGCGCTGTGATATTTTACGGAGAAAGCTACGAACGTTCTTAACAGTTTCTTCGTAGTCGTTTGTAAATGCATTTAAATTTTTCACCATCCTTCTAAGAGACAAAGGAAAATGTGCTACGTCATGTGTCTGGCACACAAAAATTAACATTTTCTTTGTTTTTTTTAACAAGTGCCACACCAGTAAACGTTGATATGCCAAAGTATTAAAAGAAACATGAAATACTTCAATGAATAATCATTATCATTATGCAAATAACCTTATGGACTTTGTGATACTGAAGACCGACTGGGAGACTGGGACAACTTGTACTTAATGTTCACATTTCATTGTAATAATTTGAGAGCGTAAAAATCGTTGATACAAATGGCGGATTTTTCAAGAAAAGCGTGAACAATTTTTATTCTTAAGTTTTCTTTTGATATCCAACCATAGAATAAGGTTTCCCAGCTCCTGTCTGTCTATAAGAAATCAGGGAACAATTGAACACAGCAAAAAGGAAAGGAATGAATTATCCGGAAACTGGAAAGAATCGGTGAAAAATTTCTATCTTGAAAATTTTATCCATCTTAAAAGGGTAGAAAATAAAAAATCATATACGAGGGAACCATCCGTAAAAACACAACAAAAACGGTATTCATTCCAAAAATATGCTTCAAAAGTGTAGCTTTAATCTTCACACATAATCCTCTTATGACTGGGATCTAAGCTTGTTTGTTATCTGGGACGCTGTAATCTGTGTAATCTGTAACGCTGAGTTTATTATCAAAATCCAGAGCGTAAGTAAGGCGCAGTAAGTAATGGCACCGCCACTGCAGGTATTGAATTTTTTTAATAAACCTATTTCTGAAGATCTTCTTTTTTATGTACACCATCAGTGACGTAACCAAATAGCAATTTTAGTCCTGGGACCAGTTGTATCAAAGTCGGACAAGTTATCCAATGGATAAGTCATATCCAGTGAAAAAATCTTCTATACAGCAGATAGCTATCCACAGGATAAAATTACGTTGTATAATGCAAAGATAGCAGGTTGAATCATTATCCAGCGATAACTACCACTATGCCAAGCTTGTGTACGCGATGTACCTATTTTTTAAATATTGTGTATGTGTTTTGTAGATCTGCTTCATTGCATTATTCTCTTTTATCGTCGACATTTGGATTAATTTCACGCTGAATTATAAGTGAAGACGTACAAAAATGGCCTATTGTTCTAATAATAATGAAAGTGGATATGATGAATCGAGATTTCAAATTCCTGTTGATGAAAATTTTCGCTGTTCAATTTGTCTCAACGTCGTTAAAGATCCCAGAATGTGTCAGCATAACGAACACATCTTTTGTCGTTCTTGTATTGAAGAACATCTACGAGTCAATGCACAAAGATGTCCTCAATGTCAAGATCATTTGACGGTAGCTACACTTCTTCCAGCGCGTTTTGTAAACAACTTGATTTCAAAGTTTAAGATAAGCTGCGACTACGCTAATCGTGGTTGTCCAGAATTTATCAACGTTGAAGATCTTGAAAGACATGTTGAAAATTGTGGTTTTGCTCCAGTGTTGTGTTCTAATGAACGTTGTGACAAGGAGATAAACAAACGAGACAAGATTAAACATGAAACTGAGTTATGTGAATACAGAAAGACTGCATCTCACTACTTTGAAGAGATCAAAGAAATGTTTCAACGAAGTTTTGATCATGAGGAGCAAGAGAAAATGCAGCTGACTGAAATCACTAGAAAAATGGAATCACTGACAAACCAAAACACGAAATTACAGAAAGAAATGATGGAATCGAAAGGAGAAATAAGAAATGTTCAACAAAATCTTTCTACAGTGACCAAAGAAATGATGGAATCCAAAGGAGAAATAAGAAATATTCAACAAAATCTTTCTACAGTGACCAAAGAAATGAAAGAAATGAAAGTCATGATGCTTCAAATATTGAGAAAGACGACCAAAAATGAACTTGTCAAAACATTACCATCATCAATTGAGGGAATGATGAACTCAGGAAAAGAAGATATTTTGATTGCTGGAAATCAAAAGAGTGCTGAAATATTTTCATGGAAGGAGAAGAAATGGTTTGAGATTGCATCAATGGAAAATGAACACTGGTTTGCTTCATCATTTATTTATAATGATAATTTATTTGTTGTTGGAGGAGTTGACTGCAAGTCAATGGAGACATTAAATATAAAATGGTCACCTTTGACATGGAGAAAATTTCCCACAAAGTTTCTTTATGAATGTTGGCATCATCAAACTGTTGTTTGTAAACAACAAATCCTTTTCATTGGAGGATACATTGCTAGTAAAGGACCATCAAATTTGATATGTGAAATAAAGATTACAGGTACAACATCTCATGTTTTAAAAGAGTTGTGTCATATGCCTGAACTACGTTGGTGTTATGGAGCTGCTGTTGTTGATGATAAAGTTCTTATTTTTGGAGGATGGGGAAAATATAGCAAAGTTTTGTCCAGTGTTTTGGAGTTTGATCCAAGGACTCTTACATTTAAAGAAAAGCCCCCATTACCTTATCCATTGACTGAAATGGCAACAGTTCAATGGAGAAATCAAGTTGTTCTTCTTGGAGGTAATGATGGAAGAAAATATTTGAACAGTGTTATCATGTATGACAGCAAAACAGGTAAGATTACAGTCTTACCATCCATGTTGGAAAAGAGAAGATTGTGTTGTGCAGTTATAACTGGTGATACAATTGTTGTCATGGGAGGTGAGAATGACAAAGGTGAATATCTTAAATCAGTGGAGTGTTTCAAAATGGGAAGTAGTTCTTCATGGACATATCTTCCTTCAATGAATGAACCACGACGTGGAGCCATTGCTGAAATTTTACCTTCTGGATAAAAGTATTTATAAGCCCAGAATTATTTTTTAAATAATCAGAATATTATTACTCTTAGTAAAACCTGTTTATATTAAGTAGAACAGTTAAACATGTAAACCTCCAATATCCATATAACCTTTGATTACTACCACAAATTCCAGATGAAATAAATGACTTTAATATTTTACTAATGATTGAGGGAAAAGAAAATTTATAGCTATATTTTCCTTTCTAAAACTTCAAACTGCAGTGTGTGGATTTGTCTTGTGGTTTTGTAAAGGCTTTGTTCATCAAAATCAAAATCACTGCCAAGTTTACATAGCATATTTTTTAAAACAATTTTTATTTTCCTAACATGAGGTGTGACAAATAAATGATTTGATGAAAACTAAAAAATATTAATGAAAATATCTTTTATCTTCAAAACGCAAAAATCTTTAAATCCCAAAGTTGCCAACAAATTCGATTAATACATGACAACGACATTTGCCTGATATCTTTACTATATTATATTAACATCAAAAGTAGTTATGACGCATGCGTATGAGAAATGCCAATGACACAACATGTTCATATTACATCATAAGAACTTGAGTTATTAGATATATTTACTGATAAGTGTTACTTTCAGTTCTGCTTAGGCATTTCATGCAGTGACGTCACTGGGTGTGTTCGAGAATGAAAAAATCTGCGCGAAAAATGTGTCACAAGGTTTTTTCAATGGAAAATAACTTATGTATGCAGCAAAATATTTGTTTCATAAATATTTTAAGACCTACTTGCAAGTTGCAAACCACCTTTGGGATTATCCATTCAGTAGTAAATCCAGCACTTTATTAGAAAATACAGCACTTGCTCATTATAGATTTCCAACATACTGAAGGTTACTTCACTTCTTCATTATAGATTTCCAACATACTGAAGATTGCTTTACTTGTTCATTATAGTTTTCCAAAATACTGAAGATTGCTTTATAACGCTGTAAAAAAAACACTAACATAAAGACATGGATATTTTAAATGTTTCTTTTTTAGTTATTGAACGAATTTTTTAAAATGACACCTACTAAATCGTACAACATGTACCGTGGTCAGAAAAACGCCAAACATTTTGTTTTGAGTCACGTTTCGATTACGCTCAGTTAATGCTTCAGTAGATTTAGTCACGTTTTTAACAAACTTTAGTCATGTTTTCAGCACGCTTTACTGAAATTTTTTGTCGAGAGTTCTAATCAGGAAACGACTTGGGTATGATGGGATGGAAATTTTATTTCTTCATATATATTATGTTTTTTCTTTCTCTCGATTTTTTGTAATACTTTTGAGTTTTGAACAATTCATCACAAGTGATTGGTTTAATATCTCTTAAATATTAATATTAAACGATTCACTAAAATGAATCTAACATGGGAAAGAATTTATTACTTATACCTACGGTTGGTATCGAAGAGAAACAAACTGAAAAAAGTAAAAATAGGTACGTACGCGTACACGAGGGTAGAATGTCGAGTATAAAATGAAGTAGTTGGGTCATGAATGAACATTGTCCAAATAATATTAAATATTTAATATTATTTACATTAAACTTATGCGAGATTTAAAGTAAGTGATTTGTACTTCGTGTTCAATCAATGACCCATTAACTGTCCAACACTTTCTAATTTGCTTGAAACATTGCTTTGATTTTATGTCACGACCGTTTTGCAATATCTTCGACTACTTTTCTGTCGAAACTGTATTCCGACATGTATGAAATGTCGTTCTCTCAATCAATAAATAAATGCGCTTAGCAAGATCTTGGTGGGATCAAGGTGAGATCTAGGAAAGATCATAATTTTTGTGATATTTGGCAAGTTCTTGCATGGCATTAAAAAGATCGTGGGAAGATCGTGAAAACATTTTGTACGATCATCCACTATCTGGCAATTTTTGCATGGTCTTAGATAGACTGATCTTGGAAAGCTAGATCATGAAAATATATTTTAAGATGATGGCAAGGTCATGAAAATATCTTGTAAGGTCATGGAAAGGTCATGAAAATATCTTGTAAGGTTATGGCAACGTCATGCAAAAAATCTTACAAATTATGCAAGATCTATCAAGTTCTTGCTTGATCTTAGAAGGATCTTGGTAGGATCTTGGTAGGTTCTTGGAAAGATAATGAAAAATTCTTGTAACAATAAACAATAACAAACAATATGTCAGCTAAGTCAAAACCACTGAACTATAATCAATGGTGAAAAGAGACGAGTAAAAAATTCACAAAATCGTGTGTAATCTTAAAATAACGACATTTGTTTTCCATGACGCTACGCAACACTAGATGTTGGTGAACTCAAGGGCATTTGTGTAACGATCATAGAGCACTTTCGTAACCAAAGCACGCATTTCTGTACCGTCAGCGGACATTTGTGTAACGATCACAGAGCACTTTCGTAACCAAAGCACGCATTTCTTTACCGTCAGCGGGCATTTGTGTAATGATCATAGAGCACTTTCGTAACCAAAGCACGCATTTCTTTACCGTCAGCGGACATTTGTGTAACGTCATTGTGCATTTCGTAACGTAAGGATCACGTAAATTTTCGGGCATTTTGGTACCTGACATCTGTTGAATTGAGAGGTTACAAAATTGTTTACATCCATCATTGCTTACCATCGTTATTTTGGAATATTTGGTGCAATTAATATTAAATAGTGAGGACACATAACATGAGCGGAAAAGGAAAATTTTATAGACGAGGTAAGGGAATTTTCCTACGAATCTTGTCTACCTGATAATTTTAAGCAATTAAACGATTTCATTTTGTAATATATGACAAGTCGCTCACTGGTCAATTGCAATGACTTTGATAGATAGATATAAACGTAGACATAAGATGGACGTAAAGGTAAACATAAAGGTACACCCCACCCTGATATCATTTCGTGTATTCACCTCCCCTCCCGGAGGATGACATTGATACGAACTAAAGCGAGTAAACAGAGACAGGTTTGCAAGTTTATGTTGAAAAGACAGGTATATCCCATCCTTTATGTTGCGCATAGCAATTAACCTCCCCTCCTGGAACATGGGTCCGATACGAACAAATCCAGGGGGTTCGATCATCACGCCTCTTATGATACATGACACAACACTTTACAATGTCAGTACAATAGTAGAAATGTTATGGTCTTCGATGATTATGTTGCAGAGACACTTGGAAAAGCAGGCATCGCCTCAAGATTTGGAATGTCAAATAGATCACAGAAGCCTTCGGAGCTTGTCTGATTGAAGGTAATGTCAGCATCTCTGGCTGGTGGGGAGAGTCGAAGAAGAGGAGCCAAAACTATCAATAAAAAAGTTTTACACATGGAAAATGTTAGTGTATATAATGTTCTAGACTAAATAAAAATCTGTATGAAGGCAAATAGAAACCTGTATGAGGGCAAAGGGAAACCTGTATGAAGGTAAACCTGTATTTTGGCAAAGGGAAACCTGTATGAGGGTAAATGGAAACTTGTATGAGAGACAAGGAAGCCTGTATGAGAAATGGAAACCTGAAATGGAAATGATGAGGCAAATGGAGACCTGTATGAGGCAAATGGAAACCATGAGACAACTAAACTGAGAGTAAATGGAAACCTGATGAGACAAAGGAAACCTGTATGAGGTTAAATGGAAACTTGTATGAGGGGAAAGGGAAACCTGTATGAGGGTAAATGGAAACCTGTATGAGGGCAAATGGAAACCTGAATGAGGACAAATGGAGACCTGTATGAGGGCAACTAGAAACCTGTACGAGAGTTAATGGAAACCTGCATGAGGGCAAAGGGAAACCTCTATAAGGGTAAATGGAAACTTGTATGATGGAAAAGGGAAACCTGTATGAGGGTAAATGGAAACCTGTATGAGGGCAAATGGAGACCTGTATGAGGGCAAATGGAAACTTGTATCCCTGTGGATGTATCCCTTTCTAAGTGGCTCAGTGAGATGGAAAGTCTAAAAGTCAGGAATATTGTGGCCAAAATGGGTT